ACATTCACCTGTGGATATCCAGGGAGGTTTCTGGGCAAAGTATGAATGTGTGTAAAAACTCGTAATGATTAATATATGGTTGGGAAATTAAAAGTGACCCTATATACTTACAGGATCCTATTTCCAAAATGAGTCTAAGGCTCCTCGTGTCTGCATTTCCATTAAATTGGTTGATAATATTTCATGGGAGATGCAGGGCATTAGTGTTGCAACCTACTCTCTATGAGGAATATCACTGAAATAATGGCATTCTTCACCATTATTCGTGTGTGTTTTGTCTTGTGTGTGCTGTCATTTTGCTCCATTGTGTTCAACCACAAACTTTAAATAACATCCTAACCTAAAAAACCTAAATTGAGATCCAAACAGATCTCAAACAGCCCCAAATCTGCTTGGTTTCAAACATTCTTCTTTTGTAGAATATATGAAGAGTTCAGATGCAAAAGCCTCTAAATGCCAATTGAAATTTTCTTCTTTAATGATGATTTTTTTCAAACTTGTATATTTAAGTTCAGTAATTTCACTTAAATAACAATTAATAGGTAATTATCATTGCCATTTAAGTGAAATTACTGAACTTAAATATACAAGTTTGGTAAAAATCATCATTAAAGAGGAAAATTTCTAATGGCATTTAGAGGCTTTTGCATCTGAACTCTTCATATACATTTTTACAGGTTTGTAACAATTTGAGAGTGAATAAACAATGACAGAATTTGTATATCTCTGTGTCATGTTCGAGAATAGCAGTTCATGTAGACATTTAACTAACAATGATGACAAATAACAACAAATAAACTTCTTGAGAGCAGCACTTTTCAGAGGCTTTTAAACTGTTGAGGTGAAAAGGTTGCCAACATTAAAAAAAAAAAAAAAAACCCTGCTCAAATGTGTCTCTCATTAGCAGAATACCAGCCTGTTAATTAATGGAATTGATTCATTCCTCTTGAAATGTTTCACCCTGGTGGCTCCAGTGTGTGTGTGCGTGTGTTTGGACTGGACAGGGCACATGGCCAGTTTCTGTGCTGAAAGAGGTATATGTAATTAAGACTGATTATGTTCACCCACTACATGGACAGCAGCTAAATTTCTTCATGACACAAAGGCCAACTTCTTGATATCACCAGCTATGGCCTCAACACAAATTTGTATAAATTTAAAGGATTCGCTCACGTCATAATTTCCTGATAATTTACTCATTTACTCTATTTGTCTAATCTTCTTTCCATATACAAAACCAGCTGTCGTTTTATATCCTCTTTTTCATTCACTTTAGTTCTTCTCATATATGATATATTTGAAACTGAGACACTTAATTTAAAGGGATAGTTCACTTTGAAATTTTTGGTATGTTTTAGCTTACCTCAAGGGCATCCAAGATGTAGGTGATCCCTTTGACGTGACTGTGATTACAAGAGGTAAAAACGATATAAATACTGTTCGTTTTCTCACACAAACCGCTCGTTTCGTGTCTTAGGCCATTAGTGTGTGCTTACATTTACAAAACATTAAATCATGTTTAATTTGGACTTCTCTCTGCATGCTCTTTGAGGTGGTGACCATAGACTTCCATTATATGACTGACAGACAAGAACGGTTTGACCTAAAAATATCAAAATTGAAAATACTATGGAAACAAAGACACCTACATCTTGGATGCTCTTGAGGTAAGATAAAACATCCCAAAAATTAATTTCAAAGTGAACTATCCCTTTAAATCTCACCTTAAACTGTACCTTTTTAAATTGATATGAATACTAGGAGCAAACAAAAAAGAAAACACCTTGAAACATTATTAATGCTGTGCTAAACCCATATGTGTAACTGTACAAGGCCAGAGTCACGTTTATGCATGGTTGATCTCAGTTTGTGTGTGTGTGTGCATAGCATGTGTTCCAGAACAGAAGCTGCATCATCACACACATGCACAACCAAAGGTGTTTCGTCTTATGATAAATGAGTCTGACCCTGTATCTCTCCGCTTGCACAACGGAAGCACAGCATGCTGTCAGACCGGTGTGGGCTGTAGATTTAGCAGATGCACACAAAGCCCACAAATGCAGACTTGCACACTAACACAAGTGCACTATTCATCCACAAACAGTCAGCTCTAAATGAACAGCATCAACAATCCACCTAGAGCTTGTGTGCTTATCGTTTATAGCATGTAATAAGATGTTCTATTGTGGTTGTTCTAAGATAATATTACGTTTCGTTGAATTGTGAACAGTGGACACACACAGATAAATTTTTTCTCATTCACAAATTTTGCCACTGTCTCTGCTATAGGTTTCAACAGTCCTATTATGTTCTTTTACAAAGTCTTGATTTTGTTTTTGGGGTGTATTAGAATAGGTCTTCAATGCTTGATTGTTAAAAAATGCTTTTACATTTATTGCTGCACTCTTCAAACGCTCCATTTAGTTCCTGTTTCAATGAAGCCCCTCCTTCAAAAATACGAAATGTGCTCTGATTGGTCAGCTGGCCCAGTGTGTTGTGATTGGCAAACTGCTTAGAGCATGTTCCGGAAACATCACGCCCTTTACCATAAGTTTCATCTGTTCAGGTGAATATCAATGATGCTGACTTTTTTCTCACAATTGCGAGTTTATATTTTCTCAGAATTGCGAGATAAAAAGTCAGAATTGCGTGATATAAAGTCGCAATTGCGTGTTATAAAGTCAGAATTGTGAGATATAAAGTCAGAATTGCGAGATATAAAGTCAGAATTGGGTGATATAAAGTCGCAATTCTGAGAAAAAAGTCAGAAGTGCGACTTTTTATCTCACAATTCTGACTTTTTTTCTCACAATTGCGAGTTTACATTTCGCAATTCTGACTTTATAACACATAATTGCGAGTTTATATGTTGAATTTCTGACATCTTTTCTCAGAATTGTGAGATATAAACTCACAATTGTGACTTATCAGGCCAATTCTAAGGGGAAAAAAAGACTAACTTTTTTCCCCCTCAGAATAGTTTTAATCTCACAATTCTGACTCTGATCATGCATTTCTGACTTTATAATACGCAATTGCTACTTTATATAACGCATATCTGACTTTATATCTCGCAATTGCTACTTTATATCACGCAATTCTGACTTTTATATCTCGCAATTCTGACTTTAATATCTCGCAATTGCTACTTTATATCTCGCAATTCTGACTTTATATCTCGCAATTGCTACTTTATAACTCGCAATTCTGACTTTATATCACGCAATTCTGACTTTATATCTCGCAATTCTGACTTTATATCTTGCAATTCTGACTTTATATCTCGCAATTCTGACTTTATATCTTGCAATTGCGACTTAATATCACGCAATTCTGAATTTCCATCTCGCAATTTTGAGAAATAAAGTCAGAATTGCGAGAAGTAAACTCGCAATTGTGAGAAAAAAAAGTCAGAATTGTGAGATATAAACTCGCAGATATAAACTTCCCCCTCAGAATAGTTTAAATCTCACAATTCTGACTTTATATCTCACAAATCTGACTTTATATCATGCATTTCTGACTTTATAACACGCAATTGCGTCTTTATATCTCACAATTCTGACTTTATAACTTGCAATTCTGACTTTATATCTCGCAATTCTGACTTTATATCTCACAATTCTGACTTTATATCTCGCAATTCTGACTTTATATCTCGCAATTGCTTCTTTATATCACGCAATTGCGTCTTTATATATCGCAATTTCTACTTTATATCACGCAATTGCGTCTTTATATCTCGCAATTCTGACTTTATAACTCGCAATTCTGACTTTATAACTCGCAATTCTGACTTTATAACTCGCGATTCTGACTTTATAACTCGCAATTCTGACTTTATAACTCGCGATTCTGACTTTATAACTCGCAATTCTGACTTTATATCTCGCAATTCTGACTTTATAACTCGCAATTCTGACTTTTATGTCACGCAATTCTGACTTTATATCTTGCAATTGCTACTTTATATCTCGCAATTCTGACTTTATATCTTGCAACTGCGACTTAATATCACGCAATTCTGACTTTATATCTCACAATTCTGACTTTCCATCTCGCAATTCTGAGAAATTCTCAGAATTGCGAGATAAAAAGTCGCAATTACTTTTTATATTTTTCATTCTATGGCGGAAACAAGCTTCCATACAATTCAGACCCTGAGAATGATGCCGAACAATAGGATCGTGCCGAACCTTTGAAAGCACGGATTTAACAGGACGTTTCAGAGTGGTAAGTTCACTGTAATGTTACATCGTAGCAACAACATAACTTCACTTTCTACAACATTACTTTCTAAAAGTCCACAGGGACAAAAGTGTCCATATTTAAAGAAACACCCAATTACTATTTGCTAACCTGTATAATTCGACTGGTTTCGGGTTCACCTGACCCCAATCAGACACAACTCTTGGGGGCTTTTGCATAAGATGCATTCTTGCATTTAAACAGCTAGATGGAGGGGAATGGAACGCTATAACGCATTCAGATGGTCTCGCAGCACTATAGATCTGCTGCTCAATAACAGGACCTAAGATACACTTTTCCTTACATTTTATTATTTACTATTATTAACAAGAAATATCTGCTTATAGAAATTAAGAGACCAATGGCATGAATATGCAGAAAAGTACTCATAAAGGGAAGAAAAAAAGAGATAGAGAGAGAGAGAAAAAAAAATGTATAGATATAGTAGTGTATACCGACAGTACTAGTATATCCGCCAGAACCAGACAGCTTTTGTTTATGAATTAATTATAAGTGCTTATATGTAATATTTTGGAATCCGATTTTATAGGAAAGGGAGAGGAAAGGAAGATACATTTTTAAAAGAGGCTTTAAATAAAATTAAAAAATGTTCTCATGTTTTATGACAAAGAGGAATCAGTTTCTCCTATTTAGCTAGTTTCATAAATTTCACAAACAGCTTTAAAAAGTATGGGTGAGAGCAACAGCCAGTAGAAATCTCACTTTTCCTTACAGGCAAATACACTGTAAACCCTAATGTTGTCTTTACTTAAACAATCAAGTGTACTTGACTAAACATTACTTAAAATGTTGCATTTTGGCCCTGTCACTCAAAAATATAAGTTCAAATAACTTATTTACCTTCAAAATACGAAAACTTAAGATTTCAAGTGCTGTGAACTCAAAATAATGATTAAACCTTACAAAAGGTCATTTTCAAAAATGTCTTAACTGTGAAATGATGATACATTCATTCATGCTTTCTTTCTAGTGCAAGGTGTCATTCTATTTTACCAGTAAACAAATGGCTTTCATTTTACAATTATTGATCGTAATGGAAATAAACTGATGTTTATTTAAAAAAAAACTGATACTTTAAACTTGACAAATAAACTTTATTACCCATATTCAAGTGCTTTTGTAATACTGGGGGTTGCACAATTTTCATACATTTCACGTGCACATATTTGCCACGTGCCAAAATGCATGAAAGAGTTCCTCACATCAGCCAACAACCAAGTCTCAATAAAAAAAAAATAAAAAAAATAACAGAAATACAGCGACGACACATTATGTTGAACGTTAAATCAAATTCATTTCAAAGGTTTAAAACGTCTCTCTCTGATCTTCCTCTGATGCGATTTGTCACGCAAGCAGTTCTGCATGGCAACAAGAGAACTAATGCGCTGATTGGTGGATTACAAAATTGGTGATTTTCGCATCGTCGTCTCGTCAGTTGCTGACACCAGTTCAAATGTGAAGACGGGACGGGAGTTATTCTTTGTGTAACATTCTCGGTAAGTACAATTATTAAGATATAAAGTTATTTTGTATGACTTTTTAACTCAGAAATATGTTTATTTAAATCCTTGCACGGTTAATAAAAGAGAACGCAGCCATAACGTTAATTAGTTCCTGGTCAAACTTTTCCAACACGTTTTATGTGATGATATGATAACTGCGATATCAAACGATTCTTTAATTTATTAGTTTAATTGTGTAATCGTGTATTACTCGGAAAAAGAACATAGTTAACTAACGTTAACGTTATTTGAGACCAGTCAACTTTGTGATGTTTTTCTCTGGTCAATCTTTTGACAATCTCGACATTAATTAACAGTATTTTCTTCATGACTTTGTGATAGTATGCTTATTGAAATGTCAACTGCTTATTTTCTTATTTTACTAGTGAGATACATATTCGACGATCCTTTTTTCTGTGCAAGAAAGAACATGGCAGCTATGCACAGACCATGTGGGTTATTTTTCCCGGGCAAAGGTCAGTTTTACCAGTAACTTGCAAATATTTTCATGATACATTTCTGATTTTGACTTGTAAAACGTAAAGTATCTAGCAGCTATCACTAGTTGTAAGAACATTTGTTACTATAGCAACGAGTCTAGAACGAATAGTTCGTAGATTGTAAAATTAACGTCACGCTTGTCACCAATAATTACAGCGATTTAACGTTAGTCATATGGAAAATACTATAGAAGTCAATGCGAACTAGCAACTTTTGGTTACAAACATTAAAAATTTTACTTTTCGTTTTCAGCAGAACAAAGAAAGCCTGCACACAACTGTTTGAGCATGAATAGGCTATGATCATTTTCACTTTTGAGTGGTCTATTCCTTTAACGTGTTAAAAATATTTCTTAGCCTCTACATTTGTTTCCTAATTATAAAGCATTTCAATGTGCACGCTAATGTGATTATGTGATCTGCTCTTATCTCCCCAGTTCAACAGAATTGCTGGCAAAAAACCTAAAGCAGGATTTCTACGAGAACCTTGATAGATATAGTCCACGGTTCATGGACCTTTTTTGAGCCAAAAGGGGGACTCCTGGTCAGTAACGGTTACTTGGCTAACTTTTTGAATCAAATAAAGGTTAGTAATGGTTAATAATAATAAACAAGGTTTTGTCTTATTTAAGATAACTTAAAGGATAACTTTTACTCACCCTCAAGTTGTTCCAAACCTGTATACATTTCTTTGTTAACGCTGAACACAAAGAAAGATATTTTGAAGAATGTTTGTAATTGAACAATTTTGGGTACAATTGGTGTTCTTAGTATTGTTATTTTTGCAATGTTGGCCCAAAACTGCTTGGTTACAAACATTCTTCAAAATGTATTCTTCCTTTGTATTCAACTGAGCAAAGAAATGTACAGGTTTGGAATAACTTGAGGGCGACTAAATGATGACAGAAATTTCATTTTGGGGGAACTATATCTATATATTTAAGAGCATTCATTTAATCGTATATTCTTACAAAAGTTCTTCAAATATATTGATTAGTTGTTGGCATTAATGTAATTTTGTGTTTTCCTCCAAAGTTAGCCCAGCCAACGGAGGTCCTAACCCTTGTGATTCAAGGACTACCTATCATGCTTGGAGATGATGGTGACTCTTTCTTCAAGTCATGTTTAGTAAGTGCATCTGTTCTTCACGTGTTAACATTAAAACAACCACCTGTGCTCCCATTAGTCTAAGCATTTGTCAAGCATTTGAAAATCATGTTGATTTTAAAGCAATAGTTTCCCGAAAAAATTAAATTTGCAGGAAATGTTCTCACCTTCAGATTATTCAAGATGAAGAAGAGTTTGTTTCTTCATCTGAAAAGATTTGGAGAACTTCAGCATTACATCACCAGCTCACAAATTGATCCTCTTTAGCAAACAGATGCTCAAACTTGTTCAAACAGCTGATAAAAACATCACAATAATCCACAATTAATCCACACGTTTGCTCTTTCGACTCTTACTTACAACACCCATTCGCTACAGAGGATCAATTTGGGAGCAAGTGATGTGATGCTACAGTTCTCCAAATCTTTTCAGATGAAAAAACAAAACAACAACTCTATATATTTAATGGCCTGAGATTGAGTGCATTATCATGTTTGGGTGAACTATTAATTTAAAATACAAAGTAGCCAGTTCTATTCCTTTAAAATACAAATGTAGCCAGTTCTTCAAATTAATAAATGTAATTTATACTGCATACTTAAAAAAAAAAAGTATTGTCTTTGCTGGAAACATGTACATTTTCATAAAGTCAAATGCGTACTTGTCCATATAATTTGGGATTAAGGTTAGTGCTATGTGTGTTTTTAATAAATCTAGTGCACGTTCTGATAAACATCAATTTATAAACATTTGATTCCTGATCGTAATACTCTATTTATGTCTGTTTTTACACTAGGTGTCTGATCATCGCAACTCCATCCTTAATGTGCAGTTGGGCATCTTATTTGAGGACACTGACCTTCAGCCCCCAATTCCTTGTGATTTAACTTCTACAATTGGAATAATAAAATGCAGGACCTCCCACAGGCTATGTGTCTCCTCTTCGGTCTGATCTACGAACTTGAACTGAATTACCCCAAATCACTTGGCAACACGTTTGATTTCATCCAGCGTGTGTTAATGTCAATGGGACAATATTCTCTCAAGCCTAAATTGCAGTCTCTGGCAACAAGCTTTTGTAAAAAAAAAAAAAAAAAAAAAAACTTCACTTTGAGACTTTAACACCACTCTGAGAATGTTCTACAAATGATTTGCAGGATATATGTATTGGTACCATTTTTACTACCTCTTCAGTTTTGTGACCCAGAAAATATTTGTTTAAAAAAAAAAAATGCCACTTTGAGACTTTAATATTTCTGACAATGTTTTGTGAGGGAAAATGGTTTAAATTGTGAAATGCTCTATAATTAATGTGCATTAGTCAGTTTAGTACAGTACCATTGTTGGTAACAATACCTCTACAGTGTGTTCAATTACAGTATAGTTTGTACTGTAATATTGTGCAAATATTTAGTCAAATACAGTGACTATGGTCAGTATGCTTTACTTATTTTGCTGTGATTGCATAAAGCTTAAACCAGTAAAATGTTAAAAGAATGTACATTACGTGTAAATGTTCGGTACATTTACAAAAATCTGAGACTTAAGTGTATTTTGTAAGTGATCAGAGTTGTACAATTGATATTGCACTACTTAATGCTAGATACTGTTGCCACATTTAAAGTTATGTACAGTGTGAGACTCATTTCCATTTGAAATTTTGGTCAATAAAGACTCAAAAGATCAATATGTTGTTCATTGTTTTATGTAAGTGCAGTGTGCATACAGCTTACAGTCAAAAATAATAGCTTTAATATTTTTCAAAATAATATTACAGTAACATTTTCATGTTGAGTTTACTTAAATATACAAGTACAATTGATATTAACACTAAGTTAAGTGAACTTTATTGTTTAAGTGTATTAAATAATCGTGAAGTTTGGTGAACTAAACAATTTAAGTCAAGTCTACATAACTACCAAGTTAAGTAAACTTAAATATGCAAGTTTTGGGAGACCCCATTACTCAATTAAATTGAGGGAACGAGTTTACTCAAATCAATTGAGTTAAATCAACTTATTAGGTTTTTCAGTGTACAGAGGGTCACTTGTGGGGTTCCACAGGGATCAGTCCTTGGACCAAAGCTATTTTTATTATTTATCAATGACATCTGTAAGGTGCTTACACAACTAAATTGTGTCTTATTTTGCAGATGATACAACTCTATTTTGTTCCAGTCAAAATTTGGGACAGCTACAGTGGAAGCAGAAACGAAAATATATTTAAAAAAATGGTTCGATGTTAATAAATTGTCATTAAATATAAGTAAAACTAAAATATTTTATTTTGGTAATAAAAAAAAAAAAATACAAATGTCCAGATTAGAATTGAAATGTCTGAACTAGAAATAGTTAGTGAAATTAAATTCTTAGGCGTCATTATTGGCAACAAACATAGTTGGAAATCCCACATAACTTACATAAAGTCAAAAATTGCAAAAACTCTGGCTATTCTGTCCAAAATAAAATACATTCTTGATTCAAAGGCAGCCCGTTCTCATATGACGTTAAAGGATGAGAATGCGTTGAAATATTGTATCAGTCTCTAATAGTGCCATACATGACTTATTGCGTAGAGATTTGGGGAAATACATACAAAACAACAGTAAAACCAATTCTTCTTTTACAAAAACGTGCAATACGACTAATAAATAAAACAGATTATTATCACCCAACAAACAAGCTATTTATAAATTCCAACCTACTAAAATTTAATGATTTAGTAGAATTTAAAATAGCCAAAATAATGTTTAAAATGATAAATAATCAATTTCCAGACTGTGTCCGGAACCTGTTTCAAATGAAATCCACTCCTTATGAGCTCAGAGGAACACTCATGTTCAATAAACCACAGATTAGAACAAATGTTAAACAGAGATGTCTGTCTGTTAAGGGGGTTAAAATGTGGAATAGTCTCGATGATGAACTGAAAACATGTAAATCTATAGGCAGCTTAAGAAATTGTATGTATAAAAAAAAAGATTACATTATACAAAGCTGAATAAGTTTAGCTTTCCTTTCTTTTAGTTATTATTTTCGCAAAATGACTTACAGTACGGTACTGTGTGTTAAATAAATAAAATGTAAAAAGGATCGGCGCAATAAGCATAAGCTTCAGCCGACACCTTTTCGGTTTTTAGTATTGTTTATATTGTATTTTCACTTTTGTTTCTATATTTGTTTGTAAACTTCTTTTTGAAGCTGACCGAAATAAAAATTATGAATGAATGAATGAATGAATGAATCCATCGCCACCTCAGCAACAAGCTAATATCACAATGTTTGCAATGCGTTTGGCATCAGTGTACTAAAATATAATGTGTTTCTGGTCTTAGTTTTCTCTTTTTCTTTCTGGTTTGCCTGTCTCTCAGATACAGAAAATGTAGCTTTTTGTACTCATGAGAATATTTTCTTTTTTAAGATGCATAAAAATAGTAATATGTGTAGCCCTAATGAACCATGAATGTTGGTGGGGAAAAAAAAAAACTCAATAAGAAACATTTTGGCTGGAAGTTTTGCTTTTACATTTGTAATCACCAAGACTTTCAGCCATTGAGCCACTGATTAAGGCAATTACACACACACACACACACTAAAAGGAGGTTGATCGCTGCAGAGCCGGAGCGCTAACGCTAATGCCATTCTCACTGTTAACCTTTGAGTAATCACTGTTGAACTAGCATGAGCCGCACTCACATTACCGCATGCCCACGCTCACCATTAGCGGCGTACAAATGTGCTATTCATTTTCATTAGTGCCAGCTTCACTTCTGATTCCCAAGCAGCAGCTTTGCGGAGTGGGTGGTTGAGGAGAGACATTCCCTCTCCGTGACCTCCGAAGCACCAGGTCAGACAAAAAGCTTCTCTTAAAAAGGACACTATGTACTCTAATTCTAGCCATCATTTATTTACACTAGTCATATCTTTCAAAACTGAATACTAAGGCCCTGTATACTGGTATTAAGAAGCATTTTCGTCGATCGGATCACAAGTACGGCAGAAACACAGTCCACTTTCAGTGTAGTTTCTGCACAGCCGCGAGATAACGGCAAACACTGTGAGTGTGTGTTAAAAATCATCATGCTTGGTATGGTTTTCGTCTTCAAACCAAAGTTGTCTTCAGGCGACAAAGTTTAAATCCCATCTGTTTACGCATTAGGTCAGACGCAGAGTAGACGTCTTTTTTGGCTGTTCGAGCATTCAACCTCGTGTGTTTACACAGCGAAAGCAATCCGATTGAATGCCTTTCCAACTTCCTCTGGAAGTGGTTGAACATTGACAAGCTGAAAATATTTTAGACCCCTATCACGCCTGTATTTAGCGTCGTACACTTGTGATCCAATGGACCAAAATGCATCTTAAAGGAATAGTTCACCCAAAAATGACAATTCTGTCATACGTTACTTACCTTCAAGTTGTTTTGAACCTGTATGAACACTTTACTTGAAGGGGTGTGCATAAGACTGACATGACACCTTCATAACCATGACATGACACATGTCTTGAATATTAAGTAGGGTTTATGCATGTTTATGACAACTGTCATTAAGTGTCTCTTGCTAAATAATGACATTTTGAATGCAAATATGACATTGTTTGAGACATAAACATCAAAACCTGTCAGTAACTTTGTCATGACAACTTGACATTAAATGAAGTTAAAGGGTTAGTTCACCCAAAAATGAAAATTAAGTCATTAATTACTCACCCCCATGCTGTACCAACCCCGTAAGACCTTCGTTCGTCTTCGGAACACAAATGAAGATATTTTTGATTAAATTTGAGAGCTGTATAACTACCACATTGGCTGCCTAAGGGACTGCCTCTTGACGGCCCAGAAAGTCAATGAAGAAAATGTTTAAATATCCCAAGTGACTACCGTGGCTCAACTATATGTTTATCAAGCGACGAGAATACTTTTTGTGCGAAAAAACAAACAAAAATAACGAGTTTATTCGACTATTTCTTTTCTTCCTTGTAGGCCAGAACGAGACTTCCTTAGATTTCCACGACGCATGCGCGAGAATTGCGATCTGAAGTGGTGTAAGCAGATCGCAAATCTCGCGCATGCGTCGTGGAAATCTATAAGGAATTCTCATTCTGGCCTACAAGGAAGAAAAGAAATAGTCGAATAAACTCGTTATTTTGTTTGTTTTTTTCGCACAAAAAGTATTCTCATCGCTTGATAAACATATAGTTGAGCCACGGTAGTCACTTGGGATATTTAAACATTTTCTTCATTGACTTTCTGGGCCGTCAAGAGGCAGTCCCTTAGGAGCCAATGTGGTAGTTATACAGCTCTCAAATTTAATCAAAAATATCTTCATTTGTGTTCCGAAGACGAACGAAGGTCTTACGGGGTTGGTACAGCATGGGGGTGAGTAATTAATGACTTAATTTTCATTTTTGGGTGAACTAACCCTTTAAACTGCCGTGTGGTTGGCTTTGACATTGGCTGTCATGAGGCATTATAACTGTCATGAATATTTTTCGTGTCCTCAACTACAGTGGTACTAATTGCATTTGTCATTAAAAAGTTATAATGTCTTCATGGCAGCCAATGTCAAAACCAACCACCTGATAGTTTAATGTAATGTTAACCAATAAAGCTAGATGCTTTCTTAAGTTTGATCATTAATCTGCTATGTCATGTTTATGACAGGTTGTGTTGTCTTAGTAATGTCAAGTTGTCATGACAAAGACACTGACAGGTTATGATGTATTGGTTTATGTCAAGGTGTCATGACAAAGACATCGCAAACAATGTCATATTTGCATTCAAAATGTCATAACTGAGCGAAAGACACTAAATGACAGTTGTCACAAACATGCATAAAACTTATGACAATTATTAATCATATCATGATTATG